TAAAATACTTAATAAAAATATAATACATTAATTACATTTGACTTTTCTTATTACAAATTATAGTAAATAAGATAGCTTTTTATATAAGTATAGATTTAATTATTATTTTTTTACGGAATAGATTCTAAATTCCATATTGTAGAGATTCTAATCGGAAAAAACATCTATTATATAATAGAAAGTTTGTTAAGTAAATATTTATAGAGATTCTAATCAGAAAAAATATCTATTCCATATTTATAGAGATTCTAATCGGAAAAAACATCTATTCCATATTACAATATGTAATTAATGAAAGTTTGTTAAGTTACTAATTTTAGACAATAATTAATGAATTTGGCGGGAAAAGATTACTAAAAGTAAATTAAGTTAATCCTTATTACATATTAATAGATTATATGTGGTGTTTTTTCTTTATTTTTTTTAAAGTGAAAATTATATTTTGGATTAATAGCCAATTCAATCAACTTTATTCAAAACAATTCATATTAATCAACCAAATCAAACCAAAACACGTTCGAATCATAATCACGGCCTTACTAGCTCACAATCACATCACAAAACATCTAATCACAAAACCCACAAATATTATACAAGAACGATTCAGCGTTCGACACAATGAGTATGTTAATAATTCCATTATTAAAATGAAAAACACACAAATCATAACATATTTATTTCAAATATTTATTCTACGAATGCAACTAGTCCTTGATCTTGGGCTTATGCACCTAGTCCTTGATCTTGGGCTTATGCAGCTAGTGCTTGATCTTGGGCTTCTTGACGATCATCACCGAGCAGTGGGCATGGTGAGCGCAATAATCACTTACACTGCCCAAAACGGCCCTGCGATAACAAGAAGAATGAGTAGCTTTACTTACACATTCAAGTTTCAATGAAGCCAATATTTAGGAGAGGAAAAATGAAAGAAAGAGGAATCTAAGTGATTCTGGGGAGATGCTATGGTCCCGTTACGAACCCATTCTTGTAACCGTTAAATCATCATGTAACCGTCGGGATAGTTGATCTATTTGGTTACAAACTCCGACGCAATGGTCAGGACCGTAGCATCTCCCGTGATTAAGTACCTCTTAATAGCTCCATAACCATGGCTGCCAACAACTAACACGGAAGCATGGTGCTTTTCTACAGCCTCACACATAACATTCCTCGCATCACCATCAACAACCTCGAATATCACATTATTCACCTGTTCATATATACAACACAAACCAAGAAAAAGGGGGCTAATTTTAATATTTAAAATATTATAAGCCAGATCACACACATATTCATGAATTTTCTTGTACGAAATAGGCAAATCTAGAGCAGAATATACATAACTTTTTGGTACAAAACATGGGGCAAATCATCCTGAGAACATTAATTTACATAATTCATGGGTTTTTTTTTTTTATATGAATTACTTAACCAATCCAAACAAATTTTG